ATTTGCATGCTAGTTTTATATGAGGAGAGAGAGTGGGTTGATATAGGATCCTACAGATGGGTGAACTTCACAGATATGATCGCTGTTTGCATCTATATTAAGAATTAGATCAATGGGATTGATTTTTCAGTCTGGGTTCTGTAATGTGAACTAAAGTTCACATTCTGTGTTTTTCCAGCTAATTAAACCCTCGACACATTTATTACATATAAATACCTTCCCCTCTCACAAGGAACCTACATTTTTACTAGCTTAAGACAACACTGGGAGGTAGAGCAGAGCGGGCAGGACTTAGCCAAGCACCACGCTGGGAGCGCTGGGCTCACACAGGCACCTTCTCCGGCAAGCTGATGACATGGAATGGTTGCACTGGCGCTCCCCACAAGCACTACTCTGCCAGCAGTTACCTTTTCCCCATTTTCCCGGTAACAGGACTCTCTTGCATCCCATTTCTTCTCTTCCAGTGCTTCTGAAGACAGTTCCTCCTCTTCCTCCTCTTCTAAAATATCTGAAAGGTCAGAACTGCGGTTGTGCTCAGCAAAAAGGGCCAGCTGACGTCTTCCCATTTCAGACATTTTCTCTTCTTGCTATTGAAAAGCAAAATTGATTTTCATCAATGCAAACTCAGACCTCTAGGCTGTCTCTCTGTTTCAGCAACAAAAGAGCAGTCATTCCACCCTCTTTCTCTAGTATACACATAGCTAAGTGTGGTAAGAAACAGGAAAACACTCAGTGCAGGGTGGCACATGCCTGTGCACGCACACACACACACCCCTACCTGTCAGGCTCACTTCATAGCCTGCAGGAGAGGAACAGCGTGCATAAGATTGTGAAACCTCTCTGCAGCTCAATGTTGTCAAACACAATCCGCGTCCCTCCCTGGACAGCAATTCAACAAAGGCAAAACAAACCTCTCTCTTCACTCTAGACACTATTCCAGAGTCTCCTCTGGACATTTCTTTCATCACCTCCTTGACAGGAGACAATCTTGGGAATTCCTGGCATACGCTCTCACTCGTGCTTGAGTCTTGGGAATTGCTCTCTGCTCCTTCAGCCTGGCTGGAGGAGGGCAGAGGCTCTGGGCTCAAGTGCTTCTCCTTTGCTTCTGTTTCAGCATCAGGTCCTTTTGGTGGCTCCTCCACAGAGCATGCAAGGCAGGTCTCCATATGGATCTTTAGACTGCTGTTGGATTGACCTTCCAGCTCTGATGCTCTGGTCACAGAGAGCTCCATCTGCAAAAGAAACCAAAAATGTTCATTAGCAGGAAAACAATGGTGTTTGCTGCAGAGCCTTGCCTATGCCCTCGACTGCGTGCTCTGCTTCTGCTCCTCTTTGAAGGATCTATCAGTGACAATTTGAGAAGTTCACGCACTGTCTCCTTGCCATCATCTCTTAGGCCAATTACGCCAGTCTGCCCTGGGACTTTGCTACATCCCCCAGCTAGCCCCTTCTTGACATGGGACAATGAGACCTGGGGACGACACTGAATGGAAAGGTCCTTTACCCCTCTTCACACCCTGCTCTGATGGGAACACCATGCATCTCGTGCCTCTTGGCATCTCGTGCCTCTTGGCATATGAAGATTTTTGCATTCATTTTGTAGTCAGGAAGGCTGGTCACTCATGGGATGAATTCTTCCCTGCCATTAGCTGCAAGGGGACCCACAGCCTTTCCACGGTAGCATCATGGTATGCACCACATGGTGGTTCATGTTGCCACATGGCGCTCACATAAGCCATAGAAGCATATTAGCAATAACTAGTTTTAAAGCAACAGGGATGACATACATAATTAGGCCGGTTCCCACCTCAGGAATCCCAAAGGAATGTCCTAAGCACCAGTTTACAGATTAGCTTGAGCTGGAGGTGAGAACACAACCCCAGCACTCACTGAAGCTGGTGAAGAAAATGAGAATAAATGAGGAATTTACATATGATGGCATAGATTAGTGGTTTGGTCAGTTAGCAGGATTAAAGAATTTTCAAATTCTGATCCCTTTCCTGGAAGTATTTGTCTTTGATGATCAATCAACTCAGTCTGGTGTTTAGGGACAGCTGTGGGAGATGGAAGAACAGGATCCTGGGACTGAAGAGGGAAAGGCAGGTGGATCTTTAACAACTACCTCTTTTTTTAAAAAGGTGGTCACCTCTACTGCATTTTGCACTGGAGCATGACTTTTTCTTTACTTACTAGACACTGAAAATATCTACAGGATGAAGCTTCTGGAGATTTAGACAGTGCGGTCTAAATCCCCCAAGACCTTAGGTTAAAGACAGGCAGTCTAGAGCTAGGTCTAGGTTTAGGTCTAGATGAATAATCTGATGGTTATACTCTTTCTGCCATTTCCTTTCTTGATGAGGAATAAAGACAGACATGTCAAGAAAGAAGGTAATTTGCATCCTAGAAGCACCCATTTTCTCCACTGACCACAATGGAGGCAAAATGACCCACTCATACGTAACCATTTACCCTAGACATCTCAATGGGCAAATGGGTCACAATTGAGGTGCCATGGGCAGCAAATGAGCTGGAGATGCTCCATTAGTTACCAGGAGTCACTCTGTCCTTTTCTCCAAATCTAAGCCTTTGCAAACTCACACTGTCATGATTAACAAAGTCACAGCAAATTTAATGGACTGAAGTACTCCCCTGAGCCCCCTTCACTGCAAAGTGAACAGAGGAGTGACTCCTCCAAGTCAGAGTACTGGGCAATGCCGGACTAAGACTAACATCATCATCGGGGAAACATCCTTTTCATCTTCTAGCTCTCCTGAATTTTTGCTTTTCTGACCCTATTCTTGCTCTGCTTGCACACACGCGATTAAGCAGCAAGGTTCATCTGCCTCCCCCTGTTCTAGCTACACAGAGCAGCCAATACTCCCTGCTGGTTTGCCAGCTGCTGAAGACGGGCCCATGGGGACAGCGCGACACAACCGGAGAGAGGCAATCAATGGTTTTTAATTCCATTTCCCAAAATGACCTAATGCTTCTTCCCAGCACACATGGTCCTGGGTGAACAATGTAAGAACTTACCTGTGCTTCCATTCCTTCACCTGGGCCCTTCAGTTCGGCTTCGCCTGGAGATAGAGGCTCTGTGTCCTCACTTGGGAGCCCTGGGCTGCTGGCTTGCTGAGGAAGGACAGTCAGGCTTTTCTTGTCTTGTGCAGTGTCTGAACCCTTTGAGGAAGTGTCTGAAACCTGCACAAAGGAATCACTGGGAGAGGAGGGGTTTTGCTGTGAAGAGGCCTTCTCTAGCAGAGATTGTGCTGAACCATCACAGCTAGAGGCAAGATCAGTCAATTTGGCATCTGAACCACCAGGGGGAATTTTCTGCTGAAGGAGGAGTGGAGCTCTCTGGTGTGTGGGTGGTTTGCGCGTAGGCAGAGAACCCCTCGATTCTCCAAAGGGCAGCCTAGAGGTAAAACTGGTAGAAACAGCAGAATCTGAAGGTGAAGAATGACGAGAAGCTCTCAGCAAGACTGAGGAAATCTGAGCTGGAACTGAATCCACTGACTCCCCATACAGGGACATGGTTCTCACAGAAACCTCCCGGCACACCTGGAACATCTGAAGTTGGGACAGGTCCACCAGGATGCTCCCAGCTGTTGGAGAGGTAACTTCTATTGCCTGCAAGCAAAGAACCAAGAAAGAGCTATTTATTATGCACAGCTCATGCCTCCTGCAAATGGCACCAACTCCCAAATTCAAAGTTTACAAGTGTCCCCAAAGCTCTTCGCAACAGGAAGGCAGGATTCCAACCCTTCAATACAATACTGGGGAAGCAAAAACAGTGAAGAGAACTAACTACCATAACCACTTGAGAAACATGGATATTCTGTAAAATAAGACTATACTCCTTCTTAATCCAGTTTCTAATTCCTGTTCTCTGCACTTAAAAAGCCATCCCATCTCTTTTTTCATGGCAAAACTTTGTAGATTCCTTCTTTTTGAACTGCATAGGAGAAAGGCATTTCCATGATAAACAGCAAACAGCCACCACAGCATCACTCTGGTTTGCCCTGTACTCTCCCACATGGCTGTGGCTTGCCTCTCTCAGGGGACATGGCACAACGTCACACATGCAGAACTCTGCAGGCCAATTTCAATATAGAAAATCCTTGCAGCTATTAGTATTGGACAGTGGGTTTTCCATACACACCCACCTTTACTTGTTCCTGATTTAGGAATGGGCTGGAGAACTACACCTCACTCGTCAGTCTAGGGACAATCCCCAAGTGGGGGCAAGGCTGTGTACTGGGGTCATTTCTTTCCAAGCCAATTAGTGTTACTGCCTCCTCCTGGCATGCTTACTAGATCTCAAATCAATCCTGAAGCTTTACAGAGCCTCTTCTCTCACTATCCTTTCCTACGTGGAGAGCAAGACTTGGTGCACTGATCAGCAATCTCCATGCCTCATTCTCTAACTGAAAACACTGAGCTCCTGGCCAGCCAGTTGATCCCTCAAGAGCTTTTTCTTTGGATTATCAGCTGTGAAGGAGGAAGGATTCATGTTTAAATGTGTATGTTCATGCTCAAGAAAACTGTTTAGTCAACAGCAATAAGGCCCGACTAGGTGCCAAAGAATTTAGAATCAATTAGCAAGCTAAGCACCTCAGTGAGGAAGAGAGAATCTGTACAGACTAAACTAGGACTCTGTTACCGACTGCTTGGGCTGGATGGAGACACTGACTCCACTGTGCTGAGGGAGAGCATGGAACCAGCCAGGGCAGGAGATACAACAGGAATGGGATCCCTATGAACACAGTGTCAAATGTCATATTGGGATGGAAAGCAGAGATCAAATTCTTAAGATACTATGAATGAGGAGTTCATGGAGCAACTAGGTTGGGAGGCCTCAGGAAGATACGGAACCTGCCTTGCTCTTGGATCCTATTCAAAATCCTACAGAGATTTCTACAAAAAGAAATGACAAATGAGTAGTAAAATCTGGAGTTACTGACCGGATACTGTAAAACTGCTTTAGTTTGAGGTAGAAATAATGTGGTTTTGGTCTCTTCTATCTTCAGTTAATTTGGACTAAATAATTATCAAGGCGTAGAGTCCTTCAGGTATACACCTAGCCTGGAGGCTCACTTCCACAGGGACAAGGTTCCGCATTCCATATGGTAGTTCATTTATCTCCCCTATGGACACCAGCATGAAACAGCTCTGGCGCAACATCTACACCCCCCAGTTAACGTGCCTCCCACACCGGAGCCCACAAGTCTGGATCAGCCCTGCATGGCCGACCTGCAGCACCGGCTTCCATTCCTCGTGCTAACCACATTTACTCAAAAAGGCCTTTACCAGCAAAAAGCCAATTGCTTTTTAGAACGTGGCTTTGTCTTCCTTTCCTTTATATTTTATCAACATAGAAAGCCAGGACCCCTCAGCCCTGGCTAGGCCACAGGGCACCTCAGTGACTAACATTCACCACGTGCCTCGGCTGACTCATACAGACACCGGTTCCTTTCCACGTCCTGTGGCTCCGTGTCTGCCTGCCAAGCCCAGCACCAGCCTCCAGCCAACCACACACACAAACACCCCCCGTGCGCCGGGTCGGTGCGATACCTTCTGCCCATCCGCGTACACGGCGTAACCGGTGACGCGGACTCCATTGGAAGATCCCTCCGCATCGATAGTGACAGGCAACCAGCTGATCACGAGGATACCTGGGGAAGGACCAGGTTCCACTTGGACATCCAGGGGAGCATCGGGAGTACCTGCAATAGATCTGAATTTCATTCTTTTTGCCTCACTACAGCATAATGCCAAACTAAACTTGGTCAGTAGCAAAGAGCAAACTTGTACACCACATTTGCCACTGCAGAATTGCACTGGAATAGTTATGATAGTCTCGGAAAATGGCAGATAAAACCAGAGCAGGCAAGGTGGTCTTGTTCTGTGAAAGTTTTAATGCACAGAAAAGACAACTTTGCAAAAGTAGCTGAAGCCAAGATGCAGCAACCCTTAGAGCAGGGTGAGGGAAGGTCATGGCAAACTATATACTCCACTGCCTGAGAGGCATGCTGCTCATATCAGCACAGGGGACGTTCTCCCAGAGCAAACGAAAATAAAGATAATATTTTTTTGAAAAAAAAAATAACAAAAAAAATCAAGACAAAACAGTACAACATCTCACTCTTTGGAACCTAACAAACCTTGCTTCCCTTTGCTCCAGGACCTCAGAGCAAAACAACGACAGAGCTCACTGCCCCAAGCACTCCCCGCAGAGTGGCGCAGGGCACGACTGCTCTGATACCTGCTAGCGGGGTAGTGAAGTGTACCACAGCTGAGTGCTGCTCCTGCCCCTCTGGCAGCTCTTCCCAAGGTGCTTTCAAGGGCCGGGCCTCCAGCTTGGCAACGTACTGGGTGCTGGGCTGCAGGTTGCGGAAGGTGTACCAGTACACCCCGGGTTTTGCTATGTCACATTCCTCCCCATTGAGATACACTGCGTGGCTGTAATTGCTGTTGCAGGGGAGCCACATGACCTCTGCAGATGTGGCCGTGACGCTTCGGACTTTCAGCATAGTTGGCGCCACACAAAGATCTTGCCCCACAAAGAAAGTGCATCGCAGTCTATCAGAACGGCCTTGCTCTGTCACGCTCTGCACAGATACACGGTAAGACTTTGTCTTTAAATCCAGCTTTTCAATCACTGCTTTGGTCTGAAAGCCACTCTTCACATTTTGTCGTAGCTCTTCATCCACATAGATGTTGTAGCTCTGTATGTCTGGGCAGCCAGCTGGTAAGAGTGGGGGTTCCCAGCCTACAACTATGCTTCTGGCAAGCTGCTTGATCAAAGTCAATTTTCTTGGATAAGGCACTGCTGTGTGACTAACAGGCTCCTCCTGGTCTCCTTCTGCTCTACTGGTCAGTGGGCTGATGCTACTCTCTTCAATGGAGTAATCACTCTTATCTCCACTGCTGGTACTTGCACTGACAAAACTTTTCTCCTGGTATGAACTATGGGTGAGATCATTCAGCTCCGAAGGCAGAAATGTCATGAGGTCATCATCTGAAACCCGCTCAACAAAATTGGAGGGGACCAGCCCTCGCCGGCCGTCCATCAGCTCCCCTAAACAAAAAACAGGAAACCTGTTACCGCTGAAACTACCCTTCAACCTTCCAAACCATCTATCAAGATAATGTGGCATCCTCTATGCCAGGTCACAACTGCAGCAGTCATGAATGAAAGTGGTTCTGGGAGTCTATCCCTGGCCAAGGTTGCTCAGTTTCCAACTATCCTCGCTAGATCCCAATGGCTACAGTGAGAAAACTCACTTCTCCACACATTTGTAGAGCCAACTAACCAGATAGTGTTTTGAGTGATTAGCTTAAGGCTTTTGCCTTCTTCATTATCCCATTGCTCCTGATCACAGATCTTTTACTAATTTAAGTGTCTTTTATTATAACCTTCCCAAACTATGCAGACTCTCAGCATGTCTCTTCTAGCCACACAGATTCTTTTTATTTTTGCGATATTCTCCTCAAGAAATTCCATCTTTCCAGCTCTAAATTCATCTTTGGCCTTCTTTTAGCTCTCTCCATTGTAATGCTAGCTTCTGTAATAAAGATGTCTAGAAAGAAACCAAGAAGATGACAGATACCACAGAACTCGTGGCATGTGCAAGAACCATCAAATCAGCATTAAACGCGCAGTGGTCAAGGACTGCACATACTTTGCCCTTTCAAACCCTACCTACATCAAAACTGTTGAGAGCAAGGATAGCAGGAAATGTTAACAAAGAAAAACCTTTTTTATTCTTTAGCAACAAATAAATAACTGAGAAGCTTCAAACTAGAAAGAGCAAGCCAGAGCAGTCAAAGAACAAGCAAAGCAACATGCCATGCATTTGACTCAGCTCTTGCAAAGCACCCGAGTAAGCTATGAGCTTAGACCCCTTTAAATATGCCAACTCCATAGGGAATTTTCATTACAAATTTGCAGTCCACAATTTCAATTACCTCTGCCTATTAATCAAGAAGGACCATGTTTTCAAAGGTGTCAAGAGAAATGCACTGTAGGACACCAAACAGGATAAAGGCTGTTTTGGGGGCTGTTTAGCTTATATCCTGCTCTGCCTTTAAGAGGAGGAGATATTTCAGACCATCAGCTGTCTACAGGCTCTGGCTCACTATGCAGCCTATGGAAAGGGGGAAGCAGCAGGTGCCTACGGACTGAATGTTGCTCCTGCCCATGGCTTGGGAGGGACCGCATGTGCATTAAACCTGGAGTTCAACTGAAAAGCAGGGGCTAAATTCCCACTGAATTCACTAGGCCAGGATGCCATTTCTTAGATTTAACTAAGCATGACATAATGAACCCTTTTCCAACATAATCTGCTCTCTCCAACAAATTAACTTTGGATAGAAAAGCTTTATCTAGTAATTTTAAGATGAATGAAATTTCTCTCCGATTCTTCAAGGAGATCAGATCTCTACAGCAGTTCAGTCACATTTCATTCCACTAAAGCACACCTTCAAAGAAGCCATCCTCGTCCATATCTCCATAGACGTAAATATACTCTCCAGCAATCAGTGGAAGCTCAGCCTCGGGGTTTTCATTAGGTCCATCAAAAGGATTGTAGCTGAAACAGTTACAGGAAGAAAACTTACTTTGTACAGTAACTTATAACAACACTTTCAAGCTGTGATGTTAGATAAGCTTACAGCCTACAGCAACAGCATCTACTTTTTGCAAGCAGCTAATTCCACAGTGAAGGGTCAAGACCCTAGTTTATAGTTTTATATATAGCTAGTAACATCTAGCTCCATATTCAAGTAGCATCTCGAATAACTTTTCTGAGTAGCACAACAGATGTCTCAGGAAGTCTGAAGGAACCAGATCAGAGTGATTCAAGTGATTCAAGAAAAAAGTGTTTTTAAAAAGTGCGTATTTGAATTATCTGTGTGACTGATGTTTTTTTCTGGATGTTAAGATCGTAAATAAACAAGTTGCATGATTCAGCATTTCTAAAACTGACATCCTTAAAACCACCTGCATTAGTAACAATATTTTGTAGGTAACTTTTTACGTTTCATGCACATAATAGTTTGGGAAAACCACTGCAAATGCCCAAAGTGTTTCGGATATACTTAACCAGACACATAGCTGTCATGGACAAGCACAACACTGAATCTCAAACTTCTTACACAAAAAACTGGAATGACCTGATTTGTGCAAGAAGAATGTTACATAGGAATGACGAAAATGTTTCCAGCTCTCTATTTTCATCATAACTATCCAGTCTTCAGGATCCAAGCTATACATCTCCCTTTGCTGGACTGCAGTTTAAAATTTTCATGCTAGAGGAGCGCCTGTAATCCATATTTTAAATAAATACATTGGTAATTGGATTTGTGCTCCAAGGAGTTCTAATCTACCCAGAGGTAGGATCCTCTGAGAATCTACCACAGATCCTCAAGCTAACTGGAGGACCTATCACATAAAAAAGATTTGTGCTCCAAGGAGTTCTAATCTATCCAGAGGTAGGATCCTCTGAGGATCTACCACAGATCCTCAAGCTAATTGGAGGACACATAAAAAGGCCTCAAGAAATGTCTTGTATTTGCAAGCATCTACTGCTAATTGCCACTCTTTGGTCTTTAAGAGGGATTCCAGCATGTCGAAGCAATGTTATCTTCTCTACGAGCTTGCTGCGATCTTCTAAGCCCAAAACTTCAAACTGAGGACACAGACCATATTTAACCTGCTCCTTTCAAGTACAGAATCACTGCAGTTTTCTTCTTCCTTCTCTATAGCCTAAAAGGTGAAGGATGTGTCGATATTCTTTTCATTGTTAATATGGATTTGCATTTGACCATAACAGCTCAGTGGATAGGAACTTACCAGAAAAAAATGGCTTCATTCAATGCCAGATTTTCTTGCCTCCTCCTTATTTATTTATTTTATTTCAACCACAAAGACTTTGGCCAAAATTTTAATACAGCAATTGAGCTTACATGTAAGATTTTCTTGGAGAAGACTAGGCTCTTCTGCAGAAATCACGTACTTCATGAAATGTGTCAATTCAAAACTCAATTTTTCATCCAAAATCATTTTCAAAAGTAAGGATTCAAGCAGTGCTGCTCACTGACCAACTAATGGATCTGCTGTTTTCATTGCATTGGATTGCTTAAGCAGGTAACGCAGTACACAAAAATTCCTAGGAACAAATACACAGATGCACAGACACACTAACACCCATCCCTACCAGTGGCTAATGCTGGAGACCAGGGTACAGAAGTCAAGTGTGAGACAACCTGTTTAACCTCAGAAGACCACAACAGAGGACACAGTACCTGTATCGAGCTAAGAAGACCTGCAGTTTTGCGGGGCCGTGGCTGCCTGACTCGGGAATTAGAGAGATGCTGTCAACATCCAGTTCCTCCATTTCACTTGCAGTGTCCACCTTCAAACAAACAAACAAACAAACAAGCATTAAAGATGGAGGATAAGACATGGCCCAGACTAGAACAAGGGAACACTCAGGGGATCTCCAGAGCAGTGAACCAGTCCTCTGAGCTGGTATGTGGTGCCAGTTGCCCCCTGGAACTATCTGTAAGATTTCCTGATGAGGTGTGGAAGTAGTGATAACAGGCAAGGGTTTGTGGGGGATATTAGGAAAAATTCTTTCCCAAGAGGGGTATGAAGTCTTGGGATAGTTCCCACACAGATGGTGGATCTCCACCCTTGAAAGGCTTCAAGCCTCAGCTAGACAAAGTCAAGGCCAAGTGACCCGAGGCCACAACAGCCCGTTAGCTGCTTTCTTCTTGGAGTAGCACAATTTGTACAAATTAGAATTAAAGGTATGAGCATCCAAAGCCTTTTCAGCTTTTCACGCATATTTGCTCATGTTTCACAACTGTTTCTTTCAGGCAGCCAGGAAGGATGGAAAACAAGACCCAGGAAACTCAGCAGTGCATTTATTCTCTCTTGACTAGAAAGGAGACACCCTGGATGGGTCTCCCATACTGACCTCTGGAGTCGGGCAGGATTTGGGACTGTTCTGCATGGATTCAGATTTTGAAGAGCTTGACTGAGATTCCACCCTCTTGGCTTGTTTCTGAGAGCTGGTAGCAACAACTGGAGAGCCAACAGTAGCATCAGGCATCCGCTGTGAGGTTTCCAGCTCAACCTCTTCATTGTGGGTCTTCTTTGTGTCCTGGTGAGTCGGCAATGCAGGGACAACAGTTGAATCTGCAATAAAATAATCTGTTTGTTGCTTTTAAGTACACAGAGAACACACGATCAGCAGTAAGTACCAAAGTGCCTTCAGAGCAGCCCAACTCTCTCAAAAAGCGATTCATTGAACAGTGCAACAGACTAGATAACCAGGGCTCCCTTTGGTCAGAGAAGTGCTGGGTGTTCCTTGATGACTCCAAAACAAAGGTATTTAAGAGAGAGAGAGAGAGAGAGAGAACCAGAGAGATCTGAAAAACTAAGCAAACGTTTTCTTTACACCTTTCCGTTTGCACCAATAACACAGGTCTGCAGGCAAACCCAGCAATTACCCTTCTCCCAGCGGGGCTGCGGGGTGGAGCTGCACAGGGTGAGGGGAGGCTCCGAGGTCACCAGTGTGGAGGTGAGAAGGTCAATTTTCCCCGTCTGAAGCCGGAACTGTTTGAGCTCCTCAGACAGGAGGCTGAACTGCTCTGTTTGAGTGCGGCACTGGTCTTCCAGATCCTTTACCCGAGCCTGAAGGGAGAGGCACAAGAGATATAAGCACACATCTACACCACCAAGAAGCCTCCAAACAGCATTTGCCTTGGTGGCATCTTTTTAGAAACTGAGTAATACTCGATGTCTAAGGACTTAAAAGGGTCCCCCCAGTTCTGGGATGCTCAATAGGAGTTGGCAGCTCCATGCCTGCCCTACCCAGACTCATTACTTCTTAGGAAGCCAACTACAAATTCAATTCAGAAATTGGATTCAATTACGATTCAAATAGGAATCCCTGAATGAGGAATAAACCCCAAAATGCTGGGTTTGAACATAAATGTCCTATCCAAGTCTTGCATAAGGTAGGGTGAGACGTCTCAAAAACAAGCCCTGAAAACAGAATGATTGAGAATAGTCATTCCTACTCAGAGAAGGGAAAAATGTTTCCATTTCTCATTATTCTTTTTCTACCATCTCTACATCTTCCCCATCCAAAATGCTGTCAAATCCTGGCCACCCTTTCAACTGTCCCTTCCTCCCCTACACACTCCCCAGCTGTGGCAACTTCATGCCCAGGAGAACACAACTTTTCACTCTTGCCACCACACGACATCGCTCATCTAGGTTCAAAGACCACTTCATAGTGTGGGACCCGCTCATGAAATTCAGGCAATACCTGAACAAAAGCCACTAATGCTTGACAGCATTTTCTCACCCAATCAGTAGTTCTTCAACAGAGTTCATGCAGAAAATCCAACTTATTTAATTTGATGTTAGTGCACCTGGCTGAGGTGCAGCTCTGCCTTGCAGGAGGTGACATTTGAGTGGTTCCTATTCCCGTTTTTCCTCTCCGGGCTGAGACCACATCAGGCTTCCTAGGCACTCGTCTAATCGTTTTGCGTAGGTAGGACACATCAAAACAGAAGACGCTGAACGTGCTCTTCAAAATCTTCTGCTCTATAGATTTGTTTTTTTGAAATGCCTAATCCTTCTTCAACCTCAAAAATTGAATCGAGCCTTGAAATATCTTGTGAGACAGAAAAGCTGCTTTTTAAGCAACTCTAAAACGTATCTGACCTGGAGGATGCTTCTCTCCTGTCTCACAGGACTGCAAAATCCTCCTGGCTTTCTCTCTACCAAATTCCACATATGCATGTGACTATCTCTTGCTTCCTACTGACTGGCTAGGAGCTCTCTGTCTCTAAGGCAAAACAGCTATTTAGGAAATTCATCAAAAGAAACTCATTGCTACAAAGGCTGGAAAGAAGAAACAGTCTCTATAATGAAAGGTGTTACTGGATTTCACAAACAGCTTCCAGAAGTATCTGCATTCTCCACTTCTCTTTCCATTAGCCACATCACACCAGAAATGGAGACAAAAATCACAACCCTTCCAAACCTTCCAGATACCCACAGCTACCATTCCAGCACTGTAATTTAAGAGATGTAAAAAGCCATAGCATGAACCTTTGTGCTCTGACAGCCTTATCTGTCCCAGAGTTCAGAGAGACCCGTTTTTAACTTATGAAGCCTTTTTTGTAAGCAATGGTAACAGCTGATATTCTTTTGCTTACCTTTTGTTTTTTTTAGGACTTCCTAGTCATTGAAGCCATATTGCACAGGATTTCTCTGAAATCATGAGTGCCTATATTTATTTCAGTTAAGGTTTATAACATAAATGCTCCTTCCTAAGTGTTGTGTTTTAATTTTAAAAAAAAATACAGGCTATAAGGACAACTGTACTGGATGAAACCAGGGTCTGCTCTGCACCAGCACCTTGTCCCTGATCCCACCTTGGGACCTGGAGGTCAGAGGCTGCAGATGCCTCTGGATGTTGTCTCTAATAGCATCATAAACCTCCATCCTGTAAGTTTGTTAATCACAGTTTAAATCCATTTATAGTGGTGGCCAAGCCAATATCCTGGATAATCCTGAGTTTAATTCTGAGATACCTAATTAACTGGTCAGGTGTCTTTTACATCTTGTGTTATTCAAATCAATGTACAAGCATTCCCTAATTATTTCTGTCACATTGCAAATGATGCATAGGTCTAGCAGAATGCTCAGGGATTCACACACGAGGAAGCAGCGAGTTTCCAGGGCAGTGCTATGGAGCGGGTGGACAAAAATAGGGAATCTGAGGACACGGCCAGGAACTTCAGGGAAGCAGCAGGAACCCAACGTAGGAGAAGGGTGACTCTGTGTCTATGCTTAGCCCGAAAGGAGAGGAAAGAGGAGCCACACACCAAGTGCAGCTGAGCAGCATGGTTACTGGAGGAGGCTGCAAGAGCAGGGAGCCCAGCGTGGTGGGGTGAACGTAACCATCAATTCAGGAACTTATCTTTCCACCAAGCTAGACCCACCACCACCACAACATTCTTGTCCTCCCAGACATCTTCCTTCCTGGCTGTGCTACTGTGGATGATGTTGCCCATCCTGATCATCCTTGTTACCTTTTTCTGCATCTTCTGCTATATGTTTTTGAGATTTGAGAATCAGAGAAATATTCCATTTAGAAGGGGAGACTCTGGAGGTCTGCAGACCAACCTCCTGCTTAGAGGATGGCTAACTCCAAAGTTTGATAAAAGTTTCAAATTTTAATTGATTGAGGAAGCAAAGCTTTTAAACAGAAAAGCAGCTTGTAGTGGTATTTGTAGGTACTGGTAGGGACTTGCAGTGGTAGCTCCTTTCAATACATTTAATTTTTGGAGGTGACACTCTCACAATCTTTTACATAGAGTACAGTTAAAAGAGACACATCAAGCCACTACCAAAGTTAGGTCAGAGGAGAAACACATCCTACTTGATAGGCTTATATCAGTACCTGCATGCAATCCAAAGTACTCTGTCAGCAAGGAAAAGAGCAAAAAGAGATATAAAACCACATCAGCAATCACATTAGTGAAGAATCTGCCTTGTTTCGTACTGACGTTATCACCCCATGCCAAGTGTATGTCTGCTAAACTAAATCTAAACGCAAGAAACCCACTGCATGTATAAGCATGGACCTTGTGAGGGCCTCCAAATTTCAGTAAGCTTTTAGCAACAAGTTTCAGTGCTAAATTTCAAGTCTTCTTTTCTTTATTGCAACCACTCTTAAATACCACAGAACGGGCTCATTCTGGCCAGACCTTTACCCAGGTCTGAGACCAAAGAGTGCTGGGAACCAAGACACCGCTCAAAACCCAGCTTGGACAAGATTCCAAGCAGTTCGTAGCCTGCTCAGCCATGCACCGTGCTCCCAGGTCAGGAAAGACAAGCAAAGCTCATCTAAGCTAAGCCCTGATCACCATGTCCTCCAACAAAAGCCTAAACTGGATCCTTGAAACCCAGCTCAGCTTTTTCATCTATGAAGTATAAAAGGCAGCTGAGACTCTTCGGCCCTCATTTACTTTAGAATCACCTCTAAGTCTTTCATCTCCATGTCCATAAACTCTTAAGGTCTTCTTTCCAAGCTGCACCCGTCTATATGCAGCATCTGTTCAAAGAGTAACTACCCCACACCTTCCCTCACCCTCTGGCATCCTTATGACAGAATCACAGAATAGTAGAAGGCATCTCTGGGGACTGGAGAGCCCAAAGTCCTCCACTCAAAGCAGGGGCAGCTAAGCAGGTTTGCTCCAAGCCTTGCCCAGGCAGACTTCAAACACCTCCAAGGAATGGAAGTTACACTAGTTTTTAATGACAACTTCTCTTCCTTCTGCCCTCCTGGTGTCACTGACTCATAAAGCATCCCTGGACCAACATGGAAACAAGAATATTTAACTGATGAGGCCCTTATGGAACAGCACAACCAGCCCCTCAGGTCTTAAATGACTGTCCCCTTCCTCCTCTACACAGGTAGCTGTCTAGTTGAAACCAAAGTGGCTGCTTCAATTTTGCAATGAATTCAGACGACATTTGTTGTGTATCAAACCTCTCTTCCCTTAAAATGTTACTAAGAAACCAGCTAAATGTCAGTGGAGATGGGAAAAATGGTTGTATCAGCCCAGCTCTTGTCTTTGCAGCCAAAAGCAGTGGCCCAGGAAAGAGCCAGGGAACAGGCAATACTGGAAATAATATCACTTCTCCATGACATTCCCCCGGCCTGCAATAATTTCAGTCCAGCCTAGCAGGAGCCCGGCACGCTGGGGATCTCACAGTGCACACCCTGATCAGACCCGCTCGGAACAGATGCTGTTTGCAGGCACGAAGCAATGTCCTCAATCAAGGACGCTTCCCACCGCGCTCTGTCGATGCTGCGGAGTCTCCTGGGCTCCTGACAACCCCAGAACAGTGCTGGACAGAGATGATTCATTCCACCCTTCTGACTCTATGGCACTGCTGCAGTCAGGGTCTTGGCCTCATTAACAGAGGTCTCATTATTGTTCAAACACACACTGAGGCACCCTGCTTAGCCTAAGGTGTTTTTGCTTTCAGAAAACCTCAGCCTGAATCATTAACTACCTGCCCACACGACAAAGCCCCTTCTTTACAGATGTCAGAGAACTCACACAGCTGGTCCCAGACTAGTAAGTAGCATGAAAGAGCTGCCTCATACCTCATGACTTGTTATGCTGAGGCAAAGGCCACATTTCTCCTTTATTCATTAATAAATAGCATAGAGCACACATAATGCGCCCCCCCCCCCAAAAAAAAATCAAATAACATGGCCGCAAGTAGTCTTTCTCCCTGCAGAAGATCCTGGAAAAGGCAGCAGGCAAATCAGAGGTTAGTTCTTATATGCAGCCTTCAAAGAAGTATTGGGAACAGCCTGAATAAAGGACCCTAATTTAAGGACTGTAGAGGCTGGAGTTGAACCAGACAAAACTATAAACCCAGCGACGACTCTGTCACCACAATCAATCCTTGGGCACAGCAGCACTATCTTGTGACAGACCTAGACTTCACAGCATTCCACACAAAAATCAACAAAATCCAGGGCATCAACAACACTATTACAAACAGAGGATACTAAATCTGCAGCCCCTTATCTGCCTTGTTTTCTTTTGTCTTACCTCTAGAAGCTGCACTGCTCCTTCATGTTCTCTTTTTGCCTCTGCCTGGGCCTTCAAAGAAATAAGAAACAGTAAATAAAAAAGCAGCCTATCTACGCTCACTCCTGCTAATACTATCATCACCTTGACAGACCATTATAGATTTAAAATGTTGCCTGAAGGCACCTCTGAACTATGGACAAAGAGCAGTGCGAGCAGGAGAAAAGCCCCAGGTAACAGAATTCCCATAGACAAAGACACGTTTCCTGTGTTACTTTCCTGGTAAACGCACACATACCTCCTCCCCACACCGCCCCTCCAAGCAGCCACGGTGCAGAAGTCCCATCTCTTTCCAGGGATTGAGAGAGTAAAACGCCCGTTTTCTCACACGCTGCATACCTGCTGCAACCGTCTGACCTCCTCTTGTTTCTCCTTCAGCACCAGCAGCGCTTCCTTGTGCTCAACTTCCAGCTGCTGCCTTCGCTCAGCCACATCTCTCATGTGCTGCGGAACAATTCACAGAGGGTTTTAGGACCACATTACTGGAACATTGTCCCATGTCCTCTCACAGGCCACAGAACCAAAATATTGTCTGTATTTCACATCATCATTAAACAGGGAAAAGCAAGAATTTCCCACCACAAACCAGAGCAACACAAGCAAAGAGATGCTTCATTTGGTGGTGGCCACCATCTCTCCCCTCCCAGCCAGACCCCTGCAGCAGCCTTTCTCCAGCATCTCTGCCCACCTTGGAAAGTCAGACCCCAGGGTGCCAGCACAGAAGATTCCCCAAGAGAAGCACAGATGCAAAAGACTGGACAAAAAAAAGCAGAGAGACCACTTGTGCCATCCAAAACAGCACTAAGTTTCAAAACAGTTCTTCCAGCCATACAGGTCATACTGACCTTCAGCACCTGCTCTAGATTCTCCAGCTTGATTTGGAGTCCTTGATTCGTCTGAATCACTGAATCGCGTTCCTTAGTAACCAAAACAACCTGCAACTTCAGGTCAGCATTCTCAGATTCAACCTGGAAAGAAAGGCTTGCCAATCAGCACAAGTAGCCACAGTCAATGTATACATAATATGGGACCATTTATTTTCACCTCCCAATAGACTGTTTTACAGACCTGACTCCTAGTTGTGATATTAGAACCACCAATCCCCTCTACCTCTGGTTTTCATCAAAAACAAGTGTTCGTGCCTTTGTGTTTGTCCTCAATGTGATGTATACCTATTTGTACATTAACACATTTGCACATTAACAAGTCATTTTGGTAGGCAAACCATGTATGAACTCAAGGAGGGGCATCTCACTCACAAACAGGAATTCTACAATAAACACAGGGCAGTTTTACTGCTGTGCTTGCAGGTGCCTGACAGGCACCCAACATTTACTAAGCTGGCAACTTAAAACCCTACTACTCCAGGAAGTTCTTCTCAAAGTTCTACAGAGCGAATGCTCTGACAGACAAAAATACTGCTTTTTACCTGCCCTGCCCATCCAGCCTTCTCGTTTAGCTGCGAGTTCTCTTCAGCCAGTCGTGCATTTTCACTCTGTATCTCCTGCAGCTGGATCTCCTGTCCAGAAAAGCAGGTGTTACTCCACCAAGAGCCCCATTTAACCCCCCTACCACCTTCTCCTACTGCGTGTCAAACAGGTAGCCCC